ACACCACATGGATTTCACTAATTTAGATATTACAATAGTAATTTTTGCAGAGCTAGATCGTAAGCCTTGTGTCCAACACCCACCCACGAGGACCAGGTCTCTGTATGTATGTTGCCCAGTGGCAAGGTGGCCCAGTGACACCTCCAGGTCCTAGTTCCCTTTTCGTCGCCTTTCTGCAACTCGCAGGGCTACAGTGGAATTACTCTAACCCACCTCCACAAGGGACTACATGGCCTTCAGCAGAGAATATTCTCACAGGACGGTTCAATCCGTATGAATGTTAAGGATAAAGTACTCTGGGCTATGACGTCGTGTAACTTGGTATTTTGGAGAAACCTGCTGTCCCCATCTTCAGGGTTGGAGAATAATCCGAGCGGAAAGAAAGATACTTGATGTAGGGAAGAAAGGGACTCTGGCCCACTTAACTTTTCCTCTTGAAGACGGAAACAGTGGGTTCGTTAACGCTTCTTTGCTAACTACGGAGCCTCATATCCAAGAGGCTCTAGTCTAAACAGTTAAATATACCTTGTGTTTCACTTCCTCACAATTCATATTTATGCCCCTAACATACAACCTCGTGTCCACAAACAGGTCTAGAGTCCTGCATGCTTCTCCTCTGTAAAATAATATATAGTCGAAATAGTCAGTTGGTATAGCTGCGGGCTACTGGTTGGAAGGCCCGGGTTCGATTCGTCGCAGTTCAAGACATTTCTCTTCTATACAGCGTTCAGACCGACTCTGGGGCCCACTCAGCCTCCTGTCCAATGGTTACCGGGGGCTCTTTCCTCGGGGTGTAAAGCGGCAGGGGCGTGAAGCTGATCAATCACCTCCATCTAGTGCCGAGGTCAAGAAAAGTGGAACTATAGTTCCACTCCACCATATATATTGGCATAATGTTTAACTAATTAAGCACGGGAACAATTTTTAGTGTTATTAATATAGTAGCAATGCGCATTCCTATGGCCACCAAGAGTCTGTCAATTGGCGCCTCCATCGGCGTTCCAGCGTACTGTTTGCAACTGAAGCAGAGAAGCTGTTACTTACTTACTTGTTTAGAGAAGAGATTTGTGTGTTTTTTCTTGTCTTAAGCATGAGCTTGTTTTACATGTTCTGCTCATCTAACTCTTCATTACGCAACTTTCTCCTTTGTATTCCTGTATTCGATACAGTGTAGTAAGATAAAACCTTGCCTGTGTTTAATTAAGCACCACGCCGTGAAGATATCAATGGAGTGGAGTTAGAGCTGGCCTCAGCAGCAGAGATGAGCGGTCAGCTTCACGTTCCTGCCGCTTAACCTCCAGGAAATGATCCCCTGGTATCCATCGGATAGGAGGCTGGGTAGAACCCAGGATCGGTCTGAACACCGTAGAATAATGAAAAATTACTTGCATCTGCTGGGAATTGAACCCCGGTCGTCCAACCCATAGACTATCAATAAGGGGCACTATGCTACAAACCGGAAGGTCGCGAGTTCAAGTCCCGATGAGGTCATTGGATTTTTTCAATTGACCTAATCCTTCCGGCCGCACTATGGCCCTGGGGTTGACTCAGCCTCTAACAGAAATGAGAACCAGGAATTAATTAAATAATTTTCCTCGGGAGTGAAGCCCGGCTGGCGCGTAAGGCTGACAACCTTACCGCCATCTGTGAGCCGATTGTCTAGATAATGTTCGACCCCCAACATCTCACAACCCTATGGACCTTCACGACCTGTTACAGGGATACCTTTACTTTTTTACTTGTAATTAGAAAATAAAGTGTTCGAGCAGCTCAAGCCAGCAGCATAACTAACCCATATCTTCAATACCAGCAATTACTAAGTACGTTACTCGACACGATCCTGAAGAAAACTAGTTTAGTTGAAGATAAGAGAGCTTACAGGCCGAATCAGTGAACTAAAGTGTCGGGCGGTCAATGTTGAATTGAAAATCAACACTTCTCAAATCTCCGTCGTCATCTGGGTCGACCTTTGTGATGGAGACGGAAGAGATCTCCGAAACGTCGGTTTTTAACTCAACATTGACTTGTGCTGATGGCCAGGGAAAATTCTAGCACAAGTTCTATTGAAGATTTCTGTCTTCTAACATGTGGCAGGCCCCTAGAGTTCTATCAGACTGCACGGCGCGACATCTCAGGGGACAGTGATCTTCATAGACACCGAGGTTCAGATCCCATCTCGACATTTTACGACTCTGTCATTAGGAGACCACATAACTGAAATTTACTAATTTATGTCGAAATCATCGAAGCATAGGCTTCTTTAACATATTGTAATAGATTTGATCAACGCGTTGCCAGGCAACAGCTCTGTAAACACGATTAAACATGCAACAGTAAATGAGGCTGCGTTTTCTATGTAGTCCGCGTCGAACAGATGTGGAACAACGGTGTTATGAAACCTGTTTCCAAGCAACGGCTCGGTAAACACACGTACGCGTAAGCGGTGAAGTCAGTTACAGCACATACGGTGTTTTCCTTGGAGTCTGTGCAGAGTGCTTATAAGGAACTGAATGCAGTGACAGAGTCAGTTCAGGGGCAGTTGCGAGTCAGTCGTAAACTGAAGGAGTGAGACCAGAAGAAATTTTAGTTCCGAGGTTCCAGAGTGACTGAAGATGAAATAGCAAGAAAACTTCATAGTGATTTGAAGTGCTAGTTTCTGTGTTGAAATACATTGCCAGGTGACGACTGGTGAAGACTGGGAATTCTAGTGCGTGTGCAACGGTGACTGGAAAGTGTGCAAATCAGCGATAGCGCTGTATTGAAGTGTGATAAAGAGAACTTGTAACCACTGTGCTAACAAATCCAGTCATCCGAACTAGAACCCGTTATTTTCGTCACGTGTACCTGACAATATTTCAATATTTGGCTCAAATGCGTGTATGTCTTATATGTTAGAAATAATAACCTCCCGGCAATTTCCACATTAAAATACTTGCAGAGGTTCCTTTCTTTGTCTTCTCTCTTTTTTTTTCATTCTTCTTCTCAATCAAATTACATGACCGACCCACTGTAACTTCCTGAGTCCACCTGTTGCTAGGACTCAGTACTCAACTGTCTGTAAAGTGACTAGCTACAGGCTCGGCTGTCTGTTCGATTCCCAGTAGAGGCAGGTTTTCTGCCTTCGGCAGGAGTTTCAGGCCACTTCTGGTGTCTGTCTACTCTAATATTCAACATGTATAGATCTGTTTTCTCCGGCGAAGGGAATGAAAGGAGCTGAGCATAGAACTGGCCACCAACCTCCATACAGTGCCGAGATAACAGATGCGCACGCCTTTACCTTCACTTCCACATAACCCTTACTGGCATAGTACTAAGGAGCAGGGGGAAGTTTATTGTTCCGAAATTTTGCTTTCAATAACTTATTTTAAATATTCAGAATGTGCGTGGGTAGGCAACAACTGCCATCTTGTTTTTGCCAAAAATTCCTGCACAATGTAAGCCTTATGCGGTCGTGCGTTGTCATGGTGGAGTACCCAGCCGTTCGTGCACCACTTCTCTGGACGTTTTCTCCTCATGTTCTCTCTCAAACGCCTTAGAACATCGCGATAGAACTGTTTATTGACTGTCTGACCAGGAGGGACGAACTCCTTATGAACAATCCCGTCAATATAAAAAAACTTATGAACATGGACTTAATTTTGCTCTTGACTTGTGGAGCTTTTTTT